AGTCACACCATAGATCGGCAGTAAAACATTTGTGCAGTTTGTTGAGTCATACCATAGATCAGCAGTAAAACATTTGTGCAGTTTGTTGAGTCATACCATAGATCGGCAGTAAAACATTTGTGCAGTTTGTTGAGTCATACCATAGATCAGCAGTAAAACATTTGTGTAGTTTGTTGAATCATACCATACCTCAGGCTCTTAGTAGTGGCAAGCAATTCAAATAGACACTCAAACAACAAACCTGCAGAGCTTATACAAAGATTCACAGCAACAGTAGTTCATAACAATCAAAGTCAACCAGTACGTACACTGGTCAAAGTGAAGTGTATGACAGCAACTCCTAGTATTAAACATGCCAAAAAAAAGGAACAAGGAGAATGGCATGATACTTTTTTCTGTGGCAGCCAAGTGCCAGAAATTGGAACATTTGTTTCGTCTGTAAATATGTAGATTACATCCCTACTTTTTTAGAAAATAAAGGGAACTAGGATATGTTAATAATTCATCTCAATAAATTTTATGATCAAACCTACCAAAGGCTTAGACCTACTACATTAGCCAGCTACGTTTAATATTACTGAATTACAACTGGTGAGTTCGGCAATGCAATGTATGATGATGCATGATTTATAGGTTATGACCATGTGCTATACTGTAGTGTGGGCCTAGTTTACTGTATGATGGCACTAGCCTACATATGCAAAAAAATACTGGTAGTAGTATTGTTTGGAAATAGAACGTTGACCTTATATCATAGCAATGTGTCTTTCTATCTGTCTGTCAAGATTTTCAAAGGGCTGCTGTTTGGAGATGTGTAACTGATATTCGTCAATCTTGGTCAAGTAGTCAGATATATTTGGGTTGAGTTTTGTTGGTAGAAATCAGTCCTTTAAACTTCCCCTCCTCCCCTGAATAATAAATGGATAGAAGTGCATAAAACTTGTATACAGTTCTTATGTCAAAGGTTAGGAGGGGTAAAAGCTAGAAAACTTATAAATCACTTGTTCTCTTTATGTGTAAGACTGATCTGTATCAAATTTGGATAAATTAGTAAGTGGATAAAGATGCCTGAAATTTGTTCATGATTTGTAAGGTCACCGGAGGACCTTTAAAATGGCATTAAAATCTCATGTCCATTTCACACATATATATCAGGAAGTCAGCCACACTTTGAGAAGACATGCCTTAAAATCTCATGTCCATTTCACACATATATCAAGAAGTCAGCCACACTTTGTGAATACATGCCTTAAAATCTCATGTCCATTTCACACATATATCAAGAAGTCAACCACACTTTGAGAAGACATGCCTTAAAATTTCATGTCCATTTCACACATATATCAAGAAGTCAACCACACTTTGAGAAGACATGCCTTAAAATCTCATGTCTATTTCACACATATATATCAAGAAGTCAGCCACACTTTGAGAAGACATGCCTTAAAATTTCATGTCCATTTCACATACATCAAGAAGTCAGCCACACTTTGAGAAGACATGCTTTAAAATCTTGTGGCATTGATTATTTTTTGTTAATAAAGTTTTTGTTTTACAGTGAAACAGCTGTATCAGTCTCTTCATTTTTTAGTCAAGCCTGATTTAATCAAACTCTACTTATGTTTCATCGAATCTCTTGTTATTGTAGTCTTAATACACACTTAATATTGGTGAAGCCAGTTGTAAAGTTTAAGTATGAAATAAAATATTAAAAAGTAATTAAACAATAGTCAGATAAGAAGTAGATAAACTGATTTGTGAGGGAGCTAATTGGTTTGTAAGAAACATTTTATAAAGGGCATTACCATAAATTATCAGTGCAGTATTTACTTTGATGAAATATGAAGGCAGCTAATCACTAAATAAAAATAAAACTTTGTACGTACTTTTGAGTTAGGCTACACTGTGCTAAAATAGAGTGTAGACTCTTGAATTCCTGAGTAATTAATTGTTCATTGTTCAGTTGTTAAATTTAAAATATAATTGAAAAGCTAAAGTTCCCATTGCCCTTGGCTTCAAAGCTATCATTTGTTCACTCTTTTGTAAGAATAGTTTGATTTTACTCTTATTTTTACTATCTTTTAGCTTATTTTTGTAGCCTGTTTAGTAACCTAAGTGGAACGTTTTGTTTTGTATTTGAACGAAGTGACACGCCATTTTCACTGTGTTACCTCTGTTACTGTCTTCTTGTCAGCTAGCAAATGTTACATTTGTGAAAAGTTTGTCTTTTTTATTCTGGGGCTGTAAAGAGATCTTTTTTTTGATTACTATATTTTTCCTTTCTCTGCCCTTGAACCTGTCTAAGCTAATATTGTAGGCATAATTTGTCTTTATTTTTGTATCAAGAGAGAATCCCCCCCCCCCAAATATGTCTTTCTTTCTAATCTAGGGGTTTTAATTTGCTTCCCATACAAGAGGTACTTAAATAAATTTACAGTTTGAGAATGAAGGTAAACTGAGGTTTATATCTCTGTATGTCTTAGTATGAAGGATGTTAGATGACATCTTACAGATCATCTTAGAACACCCGTGCATTTCTAGATAGAGGGGGCTATTGTATGTTGGCAGTCATCAACAAAAGTCTTATAAGACCGTGTAAGAAAAAGAATGGAGAAAATTTGAGATGCCTTGTGAACTAATTTATTTAGATACTGTCTTTATTGACTTCGTAAATATTTTTGAAACTATCTGTCATAGTGAAAAAGCTGCTTTCTTTTTTAAATATTTTTCCCCACGTAAGTACGAAATAACAGTGTGTACATTTTTGCCCTGGAATGCTTGTTTATAATTTAAGATTTAAAAATGTAGTTCAAAAAACTAAGAATTTCCTGTAATTTTTATTTCAAGTAATTTTCACCCTTTTTTTTTGGTAGCTGTTTTTATATAATGCAAAGGAATACACGCAAGTTGGAGAGGTTGGTGATCCTGCCCACAGTGGAGGAATATACGGTGTAAGTTTCTGTGTTCATTTGATTTTGGAACTTACTACATTGTTTAACAATCATAACTATGTTACTAGTCATTTTATTGAGAAGTAGTTGTGCAGGTTATTGTATAAAACATTTTTACTAAATTTTACTACCTTTGATTTCAAAAAAACTTCATGTGTTTTAGCTTGTGACATAAATTAATAGTGTATGTCCAAAAAACGTTAAAATATGAAAACAAAGTAGATAAATAAATATTCCAAAATTTTTGATTTTTCAATGTGTGTTATAAACAGGTGTTAAGAGATGTATCAAATACTTGTTTTGTGTAAGAGTATCTGTATGAAATTGTACTTTAAACATATTTCTTCTTTGGATAAAACTATGTTTTAAAACATTTAAAAAATGTGTTATAAATAGGTGGCTTGGAGTCCTGATAACACAAGACTACTGACAGCATCTGGAGACAAAACATGTAGACTATGGGATGCAGGAACGATGTCCCTTGTTTCGTAAGTACATTATTCCTTTTTACTGTTTGACGTAGGAACAATGTCCCGGGTTTATATGTACGTTATTCATACTGACTGTAGAATCTAGGAACAACATCCTTTGTTTCATAACCACATTATTGATGTTTACTGTAGGAACAATGTCCTGTGTTTTATACGTACATTATTCATACTGACTGTAGAATCTAGGAACAACATCCTTTGTTTGATAACCACATTATTGATGTTTACTGTAGGAACAATGTCCCGTGTTTTATACGTACATTATTCATACTGACTGTAGAATCTGGAAACAACATCCTTTGTTTGATAACCACATTATTGATGTTTACTGTTTGACGTAGGAACGATGTCCCGTGTTTTATACGTACATTATTCATACTGACTGTGGAATCTAGGAACAACATCCTTTGTTTGATAACCACATTATTGATGTTTACTGTTTGATGTAGGAACGATGTCCCGTGTTTTATACGTACATTATTCATACTGACTGTAGAATCTAGAAACAACATCCTTTGTTTCATAACCACATTATTGATGTTTACTGTTTGATGTAGGAACAATGTCCCGTGTTTTATATGTACGTTATTCATACTGACTGTGGAATCTAGGAACAACATCCTTTGTTTGATAACCACATTATTGATGTTTACTGTTGGATGTAGGAACGATGTCCCGTGTTTTATACGTACATTATTCATACTGACTGTGGAATCTAGGAACAAAATCCTTTGTTTGATAACCACATTATTGATGTTTACTGTTTGACGTAGGAACAATGTCCCGTGTTTTATACGTACATTATTCATACTGACTGTGGAATCTAGGAACAACATCCTTTGTTTGATAACCACATTATTGATGTTTACTGTTGGATGTAGGAACAATGTCCAGTGTTTTATACGTACATTATTCATACTGACTGTAGAATCTAGGAACAACATCCTTTGTTTGATAACCACATTATTGATGTTTACTGTTGGATGTAGGAACAATGTCCCTTATTTTGTAAGTACATTATTCATACTGACTAGGTATTTGAGAGTGATGTCGTTTGTGTTGTAAATACATTATTCATGTTGATTGTGTGAAGTAAGAACAATGTCCTTTGTTTTTGGAGTGCATCAGTCATATGTAATAGTGTAGAATATCAAGTGATATTTGAAATTTTGCCTTGCAAAGAGAGTACTTTTCATTATTGACTTGTCATTCAGTTGCCGAATTATATATATATACGATGGACATTTTTTTACTCGTTTTCTCTAACTGTGAATGAATAAGATATAAAATGTATATATTTATCAGCATGCATAGATTTTTGCCTGTGTATGGTTCTCTTATTTTGTAACCTTAAAAACATGTTTTTGTACCATTGATGAAAATACCAAATCACATTAATAGCTAACGAGTTAAGACAACACAGAATGTTATATTTTAGTCCTTGTTCATTAGGTTTTAATTTTCTTGTATTATATGATGCTTTATTTATACTTTATGACAATAAAAGTTGTGGTAATGCTTGTACTTTTGTAATCCTGAGAAGGATGGTTGGTTGGATTCAAACATTGGATTTTAGGAAAAGAGGCAAAGTGCTATCTAATGGACTGGACCGTTGCCTGTTAACAGTGGACTGGACTGTTGTCTGTTAACAATGACTTCAGATGTTATATTTTTTGGTTAACTATATTCAGTAGTCAGGTACCAAAAATATCTTACTATTACTACTTTAATTGTGTTTGTTGCGTGTTAACAATAACTTCTGATGTTATATTTTTTGGTTAACTGTATTCAGTAGTCAACTACCAAAAAAGTACTTTACTATGACTAGCTAATTATTTGTCTTCTTTAATGAAATAACTAGATCTGGGAATTGTCAAAGTTTATGTATTGGAATATATTATAATACAGAGAGCTGTCTCATGATATACTGTAATACAGAGATAGCTGTCTCATGATATACTGTAATACAGAGAGAGCTGTCTCATGATATACTGTAATACAGAGAGAGCTGTCTCATGATATACTGTAATACAGAGAGCTGTCTCATGATATACTGTAATACAGAGAGAGCTGTCTCATGATATACTGTAATACAGAGATAGCTGTCTCATGATATACTGTAATACAGAGAGAGCTGTCTCATGATATACTAGT